GGTGCAATTCCCGCACGTTCCATTTTTCAGCTAGTCGTTACATTTGGTGGAACGTCAGTGAATGCGTTCGAACCCCGGCTCAACCAATGGCATTTGGTTTCCCCAGGCCTCGATCGAGAGAGGGGGGATGTAACGGTGGCGTCACGGATGACGCACCGTTACAGAGAAGTACGGCAGTACCCGGCTTAGTCACCCGAGGTAACGGTGCTTAGTGGCTGTAACGGGCTGGGAAAGTGGGACGGGTAGTCCAACGGTTGTGCGTGGTGCAATTCCCGCACGTTCCATTTTCAGCTAGTCGTTACACAACCAACAGTAGGCCGCTGAGCAACTGCTCCTCCGATTCAGACTCCTCTTGCAGGCTAGAAACTGCAGCTTGTTCGTCATATACAGCTAATTCATCGTTGAGACTCGTGTCCAGGTCGAGTTCCGTTCCCTATGAATTGATTGTTGATCTATTCATCGGCAAGCTCTTTGTCCGTTTGCAGCTCAGACATAGCGGATTATGGAGTCGTAGGTCATTGAAAGTAAAGGACAGGGATGAGTATGCGACAGTTTCATCAGCCCCCATTGTACCTTCTCGCAGCCACGACGCCCTTGGCCTATCCGAGAGCCATGGCCTGCCGTCAGACGCACACTCGGACATGCCGGAGATCTCACGTGCTAACTTTTGACTGGCGGTCATGACCGGGTCACACAGTGACCGGTCATCCGTCGTCTAAAAGTCATGACCGTTGACTTGACCCGTAACAACGCTGCTCAGTAGAGTTGTTCTGAAACCAATACTATCGCGACCCCAGTGTTCGGACAAGTGAGCGCCCAGTACAACTGTTCGCCGCGTCGCTCCCTCCCCTCTGCGGCGATAATCATGTAAATTCGTAGGATCATGCATCTACCATGATAGAACACACTTGAGAAATATGAAAGCACTCCGTTCAGAAGTGAGAGGACGGGAGGGCGAGGAGTGGGTCTTGACCCCAGTGTTCGGACATTTCTCCGCGGAGTGGTCACGAAAAGTCACATATGCCGAGAACTGCCGGTTGAGACTCCGACCCGAGTGTGCAGATTCGCCGTCTTGTGGCGCAGGGTCACGCTCGATGGCCGGTATTCTACTGCACATCTTCTGTACCTCAAATACCTTCGGAAAAATATGCATCATATACAGGATTCCTAGGAAACGGTGCCGAAGTTTTTCGGGGATGAGCGCTCGACAAGGAAGCTGGACCGAGTACCAACATTGCACATGGCTCATCTGCTGAACCTCTTCCTGCTACCAGATCGCAACAACACCTCGCTCAATCCACGCCATTCTTTTTTATTTGACTTGAGTCTCTACGTTGCATCATTGTGCAAATTTATAGCTTTATCGGACAGCAGGTGAGGGTGCCACGGCGGTTTGTCCGAACACTGGGGTCTGTCCGAACACTGGGGTCGCGATAGTACTCGTGGGAAATAGTAGTGGAATGCAAGTCTTGAGTTTCCACTGTGGGGCCCACAGTGGAGTTTCTTTTGTCGAGCATCAGTCTGCTTACGCTGCCGCATCGTTGAGTCCGAAGGTTTGCTCTATTCTTCCTCCGAGTCTTGACTCGTATTTACATCCGCCTGTCAAGTCTTCGACCGGATATCTACCGCTGCCACCGCCTTGCTGTGCTTTGCGCTTTCGAGATATCGTAGCTGATGGATCTGAGGTGGATCCCAGCCGGGCTATACAGCGCTGGGACGTGGCCACTCCGCATGCCCGAGATGAAGACTGAACGCTAGACACGCAGCTCTATAGAACATCACTACGCAATTGCGGCGCATGCGAAGTATTAGGGTATGATGGCGTGAGGGAAGGGCATTTCGGAGACGGTAGAGATGCTACACGGCCTGAATTAGATAGCGCCGATGCCCCCAGAGCCATACGTCTTCTCTCCAATCGCGCCCTCGTGTTCGTAAAGCGGCGGCATATTGCCAACCTTCCTGCGGAGGAGGTGCTTCTGGAAGTTATGTCCGAGCGCTTTAACCTGGTACGCAGCATGCGTATGTGTTGGGACTGAGAAGACTGTGAAGGAGATTGAGCTCGGGCGAGTCCGCAAGAGCAGTGGAAGCAGAAGGCATACCTTGGTCTAATTCCTCTAGAGAGAGAGCCTTTGTCTCCGGCACAAAAAGGAGCGCGGCAAAGAAGCCGACGATGCTAAGTGGTGCAGAGGTCAGTATCCCGTGGCCGTTTCGCTCATTTGGGAGTACGTACTTCCATGCCGCGAACCACCCAAACGTTCCCTGCGGTGTCCATGCACCAAGCAGCGCCGGCACGGTCAATGCGACGACGAAGTTGCTTGGGGCACGTCGTCAACGAACATCATCCGGCGAAGCGAACCGGAGGACACTCACAAGAACCAAAGCAGAGCAGTGGCCATCGACATGCCGATGTCGCGGACGTACAGCGGGAAGGCCTCCGCGGAGTACTGCATTGCAATATGAGTTGCTGCCGCAAGACTAAGCCAACGACTGACACTTACAGTGAATGGAACGGGGCCCTCTCCTGGAGAGTAGGCAGCGGTGAATAGGTATATGCCGAGCGCGATGACACCGATGTGAGCCGGGCTCGACTCGGGGATCCAACTACACGCACATCGGTCAGTCGGTTCCACGTGCCAGTCCCACAACGATAGGACGACTCACAAAGCGAAGCCCGTCATCAACAACATCGCCGCCATAAGCGGGAACGACACCAACAGGAGGTTTCTCCTCCCAAAAGTATCAATCGTCCAAACTGCCGGGCCTGCGAACACAAAATTGACCGCCCCGAAGCCAAACGACGCAATCAGCGCGGACGTCTGCGAGAAGCCACCCTGGACGAAGATGGTGGAGGAGTAGTAGGCGATGGCGTTTATGCCGCAGAACTGCTGCATGAACATGACGATCGACGAGGCCAGCACCGCGCGCCGGTTTCGGGGCACGGTGAAGAGCTGCAGGAACTTGTTGCCCGTGAGGGCAGATATTTCGATTTCGGCCTCGAGGAGCACGTGCATATCTAGAGAAGGCGATGACTTAGCCAGATGCCAAGAAGTGGGGAAGCATTGGGGTAACGTACAGTAGAGGTCGCGTGCGGCCTGGACATCGGTGTGTCGCAGCCGGCGAAGGGACTCGAACGCCTTCGCGTGGCGGCCCTTCTTCATGTACCAACGCGGCGACTCAGGGCAGAAGAAAACCTGAAGCGCGACGAACAAGGCGGGGATGCCAGCCTAAAGCGTGGCAATCTTAGGCTTGATCGCAGTTAGGGGAGACAGAGGAAGATGTACGCTTCCAAGCATCAGCCGCCATTTTAGACCTGTGATGCCGGAGGGGTCGGAGACGTTTTGAAAGGCGAGGTCCATCACGTAGCCAATCATGATTCCAAACGCCGTCCAAGTCTGCCACATCATGACCAGGCCGCCGCGGATGAGTGGGGGTGCACACCTAGTAGCGCAAAAGTATCAGGCGATGTGTATGCAAAGATGACTGCGACAACGACGCACTCAGCCGAATACACAGGGACGGTGGCACTCTTCGGACCAATCCCAAGGCCGAGCACAAAGCGGGCGACGAACAGGTGAGGCCACGAGTTGGTGACACCTTGCCAGATC